AGACTAGAAAGACGCTATACAAATGCAATTCCATTTACCAAGACTTCTTCGATATATGACAGATATCCATAGTGACTAGAGGTTCAAACAATGCATTCCAAGTGATATAACAGCATTATGCACAATAGTGAAATTTGTTCAACCTGCCAAAGACAATGATGGTGCACTTCTACATCACCATCATCAAGTCCATCCTCACCTCCTCCATCACCATCTGTTCTAATGCTGCCACTGCCAAGGAGAAGGGCAGACTGCAGCATATCGTTTGCTCCGCTGAGAAGGTGCTTGGCTGCAATCTGCCACCCCTCAAAGACTTGCACGCCTCCAGGACCCTGAGGTGTTTTTAATTTAATATTCTCTCATAATCTCATGCACCAGTACACCAAATAAAATTGCCTGTGTGTGAAAACCTACTTGGCAACAAACAGGGTTTTGATTCTGATTTGCAATTAAGGGACTTTTATGACAGAGAAATGAAACGCAATGTAAATTTAGATAAAAATGGAATAATTAGACCCATAACTGGAGATTAAAAATACAAAGAAATATATAGAATGATATCTACATTATATCAAGGAGAAAAAAGAACATACAAGTGACAAAAAGATAATATATTGATAGTTTATGTATAACATCTGGCTCTCCTCTTGCTCACTCCTTCATATTCTGGTAAAGTCTGTCTAAAGGATTGTTTGGTTGTTTTGTTTTAGGAATTCACGGCTGTTTTGTCACTAAACGCATGCATTTTATGGCCCATATTTATATATATAAAATTTAAAAGCAAGTATTGTCTACAGCACGACCATGTTGGAGCAGGTGTGAGGCAATAGATGTAGGACAGTCAGGCTTTGTCCTGAAATTGTATAGTTTAGTTTAAGGAAATGTTCCTATGGTTATTATGAAAATTCTGGGCTATGACATACCTAGGTCATGTATAGTACTCTACTTTGGTAATGTGACAGGAGATATTGTTGGCAGCTTGCAAGAAGGCCATGACAAGGAGAGGAGCAAGGCAGAACCATCAACACGAGACGGACAGCTGTGAATAAAATATGTAATGGAACACTTATCTCATAGGATAAGAGCTCAAGAGGAGTGATGTTGAGAGAAATTGGAAAAATGGATGACCTTCACATGTTTAAGTCAAGATGAGCGACAGAACCACTGAAAATGACACAGGAGTTGATAGGTTTTGTGAAATCAAGATCTTTACGTGTTTTTCCTTCTGTGTGTATGTGATGTTTCTGTGATGGAAAAGCAAGAAAAATAAAGTATTAAAAAAAAGAACACACAAGTGCCACAGACGCAGAGAATGCACTGATAGTTTATGTAGAAGCTCTGGCTCTCCTCTCGCTTCAGCTGTTAGATTTTAGCAATCTTATGAATTTAGTGCCAGCTACACTATGTGACGTATATCTAATAAGCCTGGGTACGACATCAAGTTTGATGTATGCAGACTATATGATGACAGTGCACTGAATCGCAGGCTATGAAGTGAGATGCAAAAGCTTCCCATACAGAGTGCCTAGGGATGCTGCACAGGTTATTACTTCTCCGACTGTGAAGCACAACATAGATAGAGAGTCACATTATGAAATAACATAAAGTTTTGTGGGCACTATATACTGCGGTGTGTCTGTGTGTGTGTTTGCTAGCTGCTAGTTTGCTTACTTGGCAGCTGCAACTCAACCACTATTTCCTTCCATGCTTAATCCTTCTTTAAGCAGTCATGATAAGAGCTGGAGGACACATCATACAGGCAAGGCCTCTGCTGCCACAACTCCACAAGGTTTTCCTCTTTGCTGGAATCCCACACATTTCTTTGAGTGCTTTTTACTGCCATGGTAAGCTGCTATCCATCTGCCTTACAGATATTTGATTGTTTTTTTTTTTTTTGTTTAATTTGTTTGTTAAACACAGACACTCACAGCTGTATTATCACTGAACACTATGTGTGCTTTATTGCAATATTTTTTCGAATTTGTGTCCATTCGTTTTTTAAAGTCATTTACTTCTCTGAGAGACATTTTGTAAACAGTTAGATTTTCCAATAGAGCTGCCTGTTGGTGTCTTTTTGGAGTAGTGGACCACTTTAACCACTAGAGGGCAGGGTCCCTCCATAATATACAAGGTTGCGTCAGGTTCCCGCCCTGTCCTCATGTAACCTCACCACTAAATTATGCAAATCCTTTACAGCCATTATAGCACTGCATACATCCACAAATAGATGGTTGAGCATCAACAACGATAAAAACACTTATCATTTTTGCAGCCTGATTTCACAATAAAAGATTATTACAGTATTACAGTATGTCTGGTTTAAGGTCACATTCACAGCAAAGCATATGGAGAATTTGTGAAGGCTTAAAGCCATTTACAATATCTGATCAATGTAGTCTAGTGTTTGCAGAAGAATTTTGATGCTATTTTTTGGTGCTATTTCTGCCTGTGCTTCTAGGCTCACTAGAGTCTAATAATAACAGCACTGCTTGGATTTAGTTGCAGTTAAGTAACATTTTTCATGCTTCTTTTCATTGGTAATTATCACAACATTCTCCACAGGTGACGCACAGTACATTGTGTTTCCTTGAGACCGGAGATGATGTTTATTATTTCGAATCAGTGGCAAGAGGACAGCAAGCTGCCCTGTTTGGAGGCTGTTATAGTGCTGTTCACATATAAAAACACTACATCTATTTTATGTGTTCAATGAAGGACTGTTTATTTCTGTTTAGATAGAATTTTTTTTTATGGAGGGAAATTTCTTACATTTATTTTCACTGTTGGCCTGTTGGTGGATCATTTAAAATGTCTGCAACAGCATCAAGGCACCTTCATGTTCTTGTAAGGTCATTTGCTTTTGCAGCTTTCATTGTCTGGGTGACATGTTACTAACTTTAGCTACTGTGGTGTAAGAGACAACATGATGGTTACAGGGCAAGCAGTAGCACATGACTCTATAAGATGACAGGTGATGATGGGAGGTTACAGACAGTGCAACATGTCCTGATAGCAGCCATGCATTAAGCACCTCTCATAGCTGAGCTATACCAGGTTTGGAAAGGAGGATTGTGGACTTCTGCTACGAGGGAGATAATAAATGCTAAAGCTGAAAATACAAAAAGCAGTACGAGAACATGTAACATAGCCTATAAAACAACTAACATGTAGAACAAATGTGGCAATGAGATGCTACAAAGACAAAAACTAAACGAACAAAAATCCATCTTAAAGGTCCAGTGTGTAGGATTGGGGGGTGTGTTAACTTAAAATGGGCTACAGAGCAGGTCCTTTTTCATGGAGTCTGCCATGTTGTTCTACAGTAGCCTGGAACAGACAAATCAAACACTAGTCCTTGATAGGGTTATTTGAGTTGGCCGCCATAGTTCCCCTACATGCTTGGCAAACAGTAGAGGTTTAAGTTGGTTGCAGTCTGCAACCCTTGCTGCTAGATACCAATAAATCCTAAACACTTGACCTTTAAGTCTAGCCTACAAGACAGTACACAAAGATAAATCCAAGGGTAAAACATGAAAATGTCTTTCAGTCTTGGAGCTTTGTGTGTGCAGGGTTAAGGAACAAATTAAAGAATATAAAATCTGATTGTATGCAAGGTCCTTTGTTTTACTATCTTGAATTTATGCTAACATGACTAAAAAAGTTATGCCTGCACACTTACTCCATGCCACAAATGTTTAATCAAGACAATATTTGGATCCTACTTAGATCTTTTTCAGGTCAAAATGAATTTATGCCAGAGCTTTGGACTCGAGTCACAAATCTGATGACACTGGACTCGACAAAATCAAAATTTGACTAGCAGCTTGATGTGGACTTGAACACCAATTTCTTGTGACTTCACATGTACTTGAGCCTTTTGACTTGACTTGAAAGTACTTGATACCCCCCCAAGCCCAAAGATTTGACAGTATGTTATTTAAAAAGCCACAAATCAATTCATTTCCCAAATCTACTTACATTAACACTATTTATTACTTACCAGATCCATTTTGTTTGAACCAATCTGTACAGCATCCAGCAACCATTAACATTACATTACTGAGTGCCAGTTGGTAAAAAATGATCCCAAAGATGTTTTTGCTCACATACAATAACTACATGGTGGTCAGCGAAAAACAAATTGCTGTAGGTAAAATGTGCAGCTTGGAAATTACAATGACAGACAAAGATGCAACAGTTTCCAGCTTCATTCAACATCTGAAGTTGCACAAAGAACAGTGGCCTAACTCAACGTAAATGTTAACAGTTATTGATATAACACTTAGTTACATTACTCAGATGTTTAAATAACAATATATTTGGTTTATGACTTGTTTGGGCCTTGAAACACAAAGTTCAGGACTTGGGTCTTACAATTTGAGTGCAAGGACTTGAGACTTATTCAGAACAATCACTTGGTTCCACCTCTAATTTATTCTAAAACATTATTGATCATCATCACAAATACTATAGCATGCAAACCACACTATTCACTGTGTCAATAAGTGGTCCAATCAGACATTCTCTTTTATTATCTTTCTTAATTTGTGCACAATTTGCCATCACAAAAAGGAGGTTAGTGTGAAACACGTGACAGAAATTGACAACAAAAAAAGAGGTTAGACACAGCCAAGGAAGAGTGAATTATATAAAACTGAAACTTGTGTTACAAAATCTTATTACACAACCAGTTATGAGAGGGGTCCTCTGGGTAAGTTTTCTGACAGCTTTCAAAGACGTATTAATAAATATATCAGCAAGGACTGATATGTTCACGTCATTTTGTATTGTTTTATGTTACTATTGCACCCTGAGGGGAGAAAGACAGAGGTCTTTGGGGCAATGGGAGCGCTGTAACCTGGCACAGTCACTCAACTCCACTACGTCCTTTCCGTAGTTATGAAACTTTCGACCGCAGGTTTTGTAACCGAGACGCTCTGACCAATCACAGCACGAGTTTGCTGCTCACGTGATCGTGTTTTTTATGTAACTAACGAGTGTCTATGGGAAAGTAGGTCCACCACACTATCAAGGACCGCGGCAGCTATAGAAATGTATAGACACGTTAACAGAAGAAAAACTAAAAATACATAACGTTTGCTTTTTGTTGACGCTACAATGTCGCTCCATTCGCAAGTGGAGGACACACCGGAGGAGAGGAGCGCCTTCTTCATCGGCGCTGACTCGGACAACACCTCTGAAGAGCAGGACCACCATCAACTTAACGTTATACTACAAAAAGCCAACGCGTTAGCATCGGAAAACTGCCTGAAAGAAGCCATTGACTGGTTTTCAGTTGCTATGCGGTATGGCACCGTGAGACCGGAACAATTGAGCACCTTAGTGGACTGTATCCTCCGCAACTTTAAGAGAAAAGCGGCCAGGGCAGACTCCCTCTCAGGCTGGAGTGAGGACACAGAGGATAGCGTTAGCTGTGTGCAGGATGTGTTTGACTGCCCCAACTGTCATAGCTTTTTAGGTGAACCTGTGACCATAGCCTGTGGACATTCGTATTGCAAAAGATGTTTACAACGACGGCTGCTCTCCAAATGTAAGCTGTGCAGCGAAGCCATTAGCAGCAAGGTGAAAGTGAATGTAATTCTGTGCGGACTGTTAGAGAAATGGTTCCCAGGCGAGCTGAAAAAGTCGAAAACACTATGTAAAGTGGACGAGCTGTGTAGAAGAAGACACTACGAAGAAGCTGTGGCGCTAGCAACTGAGGTTATACAGTATGGTGAGTTACAATAACATTACATCCATGTTCAAATGGGGAAGTGTTCCCTGGTGGTGTGTCTGCTGCGCACTCCCTGTGAGGGCAACACAATGTGCCACTGGGACGTTTTCTATGTAAACATTATATGCATTAATAAGTCAGTGTTTGATGCAGGTTTACCCCGAGGGGTAAGTAGGGTAAGTTCTATTGACCAACATTTGGAAAAGCAGTGCACCATGTGTAGTACTGGTGCCAGTCTCTTCCCATTGGCTGCTGTTTGATCTGGCAGGTCCTGCTTACGACACACCACCAGCTGAGCATGCGCACTCGGTGTAAGTTGCATAAGGCAGGTCGTGACATAGAGTGGGGCAGGTTTTGTAACTTATCAAGGGGGAGGGCATTTGAATTTTGTAACTGTTATAGTTGTTACGGGGCACAGTTTCATAAATGTTTTACCATTTGTTTGCAAATATATGAGGCAGGGCTAGGCTGGTGGTCCAGATAGACAGTCAGCCAGACAGTGGGTTAGCTTTTGTAACAGATCCTAACGTTATGCAATGAGATAAAGTAGGCTACTCCTGTGGCAGATGATTTAGAGTTATCAAAACAGTGATGATGCTATGATGATGATGCTATTCCAAATAATGGCAGTAAAAGTTTGTCTAGGTGACATCACTACGAGATATGCCACTTTCACCAGTATCAGCATTGGTCTACATTGCCCTTTAGCAAGGTATTAGATGCATAGCTGCTCCAGTGGTGGTGACCTTAAGTTGAAAAACTGCTGGCATGTTCACTGGATGAAAGGAGTGTTGGGGGTACCATGACCTGCCCTTCAGTGGGATTTTAAAGGGGAACACCAGTGTAATTAGGAATTCCAATATGTTATTTCCATAGCCAAGGATAGTTCAATTAATACTCGTGAACATGAGTAACTCTGTCTCAAAGCCAGAAACCAGAGAAGCAAGTCTCAAACCTGTGATGTCACAGGTTATAAAGATTGGAGAGAGACAATAGACAATGAATGGGAGGCTGATTTTGTGACCCTCAGAAAGACAAAGTGTACTGCTTTCTTTGTCATCTGGAGCAGTGGTTCTCAACTGGTCCAGCCCCTGTTTTAAATGTCTCCTTAGTGATTAGTTCAAGTCCATACAGTTTAAAATATTCGGGTAAGGATAGACCGATACATCGGCCGGCCGATATATCGGGCCGATATTTGAGTTTTTTACTTGTATCAGCATCGGCCGATACGCGTGTGGGTTCGCGGATTTATTTTTCCCTGGCACTTTTTTTCATTTGAAAGTATGTGGTTAAGTTGAACAAAGCTGTTGAATCCTATTGTGTACAGTAGTTATTGTTTTATTTATGCTTCAGCTTAAATATTTGTTTATTTTATAAAGACATTACTTGGAAGATTTAAGAGCACTGAACTCTTTTTTTTATCTGAATGTATAATAATAATAATAATAATAATAATAATATTCTACCTGTTCTACCTCAACTTTCCATCTTTTTTTAGTATTTTTTACTGTTCAATAAATGTTTCTTATTTTAAACTTGAGACCTGTAATATTTGTTATCATTGTGTCATTTTTTTTTTTATGTAAATTGAGGGAGCAAAAGCAGTATCGACCCCAAATATTGGCTCAAGAAAATCGGCAGTCCATAATCGGTCATCGGCTAAGGGTGATGGAAAAAAATCGGTATCGGCATCGGCCCTAAAAAATCCATATCGGTCTATCCCTATATTCGGGGTCATACTTGTGTTTGGCCATGTTGGCAAACTAGTTTGCTGTAGTTGTCCCTTAGGCACTCATTCTACAGCAAGAAACAGCATCTCAAAATAAAAGCTCTGTGCCAGAAATTCACTGTAAATAAAGTGTGTTTATAAACTGACACATTTGCGAGTCACTTGCAGTCCATTCAGACCTTATACCCTATAATGTGACAAACTTGAGTTTTAGCACTCTAGTTATTGGATTTCAGAGAGAGTTATTCATGCTTACTTATATTTTTGGGGTTGTCTTAAACCATAGGAATAACGTGTATGAATTTTGAAAGTAAGTGCTATCCCCCCTTTAAGGAAATAATGATTGAACTAACAAACTCAAAATAGTATGATGCATTGTGGTGAAGGCACTGTCTTGCAAGACAAATGGTCTTTTTTTTTTTTACTTCAACCACTGAGTCCTAAATACCTTCTTATTATGCAAAAAATAACAGTAGTCACTTACTCATTTTTATGCTAGTGTAGTTTGGGGGATGTAGGCTTTAAATGCCAATTTAATTTATCATTGTCATAATGTGGCAATCCTAACCCTGTCATCCAGGACACATGTTAAAACCAGATGTAAACAGGGCACATGATTTCCAATGTACAGCAGTGTAGATTCACATCTGATCTCCCAAACCCTCTTAAAAATGTCTAACAAAGAGCTGGCAATGTGTAGAAATCAAATATCACAATATTCTTGACCACATTGTGACTATATTGTTGAGTTGACGAGTGGTGCTTTTACAAAATATTATTCAAATAATATAATAGTGACATATAGCTCAGCTGTAGTCTGGCAGTCTGGCTTAAAAATTGTTCTGGACCTTTACCTGGTTTATGGGAGCTTATGGAAACATCCATTGGAATCTGGGTCAAGTGATATAACACACATGTAACCTGTGTCCCTGTTGACCTCTGTTACTCAAACACAGGATATTTAGTGATTGACATAACCCAAACTACTGCATTATAAGGTCTTTTGTGATCCTGACACCAGTGAAATGCCTTTACACAGTTGAGAGTTAAACTAGAATTATTTGTCTCCACATTTAACTGGGATGACTTCCCCCAATTTTTTTGTACAACTTAGAATATTTGCTCGAGGTCAGTAATGACGGTGGAAAAGCTGGAGTAACATGACATCCCTTGCAAAATATGAATGCACAATTTGTTGTGTCCTTGCATTGTGTAACTCAGACTTACAAAACCAGTTAACAAAAGCTTGCTGGTAGCTGAGAGACTGCAGCGCACACCACATATCTGCAATATCTATGCTTATGTATCCATTAGTTCTGCCCTGAAAACTTAAATGCATGTCATATCTCTGTCTCTCCACTTATTATTTCCTGTCTTCCTCTTCTGTCCAATTAATGCCAGGAAGAATCAAAAGTTAAGAAAAAAAATATATTGCATGTTACTTTAAGGTCAAAGGAGGGTTAATCCCTAACAGAACGGAGGCACTTTCTGACAAGACAATCAGTGGACACTGAGTTAAGGATGTAGACTCCTGTCACTGTGGCAGTAATAGAGTTGCACCACCTGCTTTTGACAGCAGCACTGTGTCCTCAGTGCTGCAGACAACCTGAGAAGCAGGACAGAAACTTCCAGATATTCCAGGTTTCTTTGTTGATGTTATGGCGACTAGACAAACCACCTGTGGTTCTGTTCACATTAGCATCTGCCAAATACCAGAAAAAGGATCTAATCCCATTTGTCTTTATGAAAGGTAAAAGATTATTTGGAAAAATAGGGTGCCATGTTCAGAAGAAGCATGACTCAGTCTGCAAAGAAAATGAATCTTATTAAAGTTCTGATTAATCGCAGGTAAATGTAATCCACCAACAGAATTCATTTGTCAGGAATGTCTGCAGGGCACACTGATGCAAAAGACCGAGACTTGCTCACAACAAAGTGACGTAGTTGAGTAAATAGCTGAATGTCAAATGGCTAATTTTTAATGCAGTTCACGTACACAGGTATAAAAAAGTCATGTCTGTTTAGCCATTCCTGAAAAGGTTAAGTCATTTTAGGCTTCTACACTTTGTTTTGGAGTACATGCCAGTATTAGTAGCTGTTGTGTCCCCTTAAATGCATCCTACAGTTAAAAACAGAAATATAAAACCCACTGATGCATCTTATTTGTCTTTTGCATTGTCTGCAGAGAATTCAATGCCACAGCTAATAAATTGTGTATGTCTAATATGACTTGCAGGAAGTGACAGAGTTTTAAAACCTGTTAAGTTAAACATTACCCACTCACAAACAGAAAAGGTTTAAGATTTGCACATTAAATTATAGATAAGCTGATGTGGTCAGTATAAGTGTGGTACCATTGTGCTATATTTCATGATATAAAGATAGCCAACAATTGAATGATATCTCATTTCATAAAATGCTGTAGTTTCTAATATTAAAAGAAAAATATTCATAGTTAAAAACCTTAACTCATTGCAATTTTTTCTCTTTCCTCTCTCTCATGTCTCCTGCAGATCCAGAGATGACAGCGGTGGCCCGACTGTCTCGGGCGGAAGCGTACATGGCTCTTAAACTGTACCGTCTGGCTTTGGAGGACACAGAGTTCAGTCCTGGGTCCAGCTGTTCTGCTGAAGTAGGTCACTCACTGATACTGCAGTCATTAGTTTTCCCATGCTACAGAAATATGAAGTGTGTTTTAAAAAATCTTTACCATGAGGCACAGTTGGTATGACTCTATGATGAGAGTAGGCCCGTCATGATAATTAGTGGCTTTTTGTAAGATATATGGACATGACCGTGATCATTTTCCTGACCTTGATATTGCCTGTTGTGTTTACATGCGTGTTTGTATATATGAGAATGTCACCAGCATTTCAGCCAACATGATGCCAGAATAAATGGCACGGTTTTCCTAACCATTGTAAGACTTGGGGGCTGCCATTCTCCTTCTGTTTTCTCTCCACCTCCGCCTTCGTGCGTGAGTCCAAAGAGAAATAAAACGCTACAAAGACAACACAGCGTAGCTTACCGGTAGCCTGCAGCTGTGTTTTTGAAATGTAAGAAGCACAGTCCTGATTCAATAAGACAAAAAGTCTGTTGTTTGTAGTTTTATCCTCCAACAATGTCATCCTCCACTCCATAAATCCACCAGCAAGCTGTAGCGCACCGGCCGGATTCTGGAGGTAACCGCAGTGTTCTCGGAGCTTCGCTAAACTTTCAGTTTGTCACAGTGGGCATCAATTGGTTTCGTTTTTTGTTGGACAAATAATATCCATATTGATAAGTCTCAAACTGAGTCATTTTGGACCACTCCTTTAAAGGTACTTGTACATTTAGATTAAGAGGTGTTAATTACTTTGTAAAAATACATTAAATATTTTTTCATACTCTTGTCTCACTATTCTTAAGAATTTCATTGCAAAGGGTGTACTGGCATTATTATGCCATCACATTGTCATTTTATCAGTGACATAAAATGGTTTAAAAAATGAAGAAAACATTGTTTATTGTAATAATTTCCGTGACAATATATCGTTTAATAAAAGTAGGTATCTTGACAGGCCTGCATGACAGGATAATCAGTGTCAGATATGACCCCAAATTAAATGTCCGGTATTTAGTTGGTGGCACTACAAGGTTGTGTATGTATGCTCACACACCTGCTTTAATCTGCTTGAGTCTGGCAGTCAGTCACTGCTGATATATTGGTCAGCCGGTCATTACTAAGAAAAGGTGTATTTTAAGATTGCCACCCACAAAGCCACAGAGGGGAAGAATCTAATTTGTGGTGTCATTGGATTATAGTTACAAGTTAATTGTAGGCCGGGCGTCAGACTCGCATAATCATGTTTATTAATTTGTTCGTTTTTTTTAAAGATTACAACCGCTTTAAAAGTTCGTCTTGGCAGCTGACTTTACTACATCATAGTGTCAAGAATAATTTGTCAGTGGTGACCCTGTTTGTGTGTTTACATGGTATATTTTTAGCATCCTCCTGCTGTTTTTAGTATTGTATAAAAGGCCTTCTCATAGGGTAAACAAGTTAAGAGTATCATGACTAAAGAAGGTTTCCAGACCACAACTGAGAATGCAGTGATTAAGGTCAAAGCCACTATTGACTATTATATCACTAACAGGAGACCAAATGTCTGGGTTGAAGCCTGGTTTATTCTTTATTTGTGGTGCAAAGTATATCATGAAAAGAACCTGCGCATTTCATATTGATTTATTGAATAGTACTTATATAATGCATTTAGAAAAAGCTGTGTCTCTCACTTGTGCTCTGTCTGGCTGTAGGTAAAACAGTTCAGCATGCCTCGACTCTGTCTTGATTTTGAATCTGTTTTTCTTAAGATTCATGTAAAGCATGAAAACTTAACTGTAAGAGAAAACGTGTTGGAGGTTTAAAGATGGATCAGTATTGTGTACACATTAGTGAAAGGGACTAAGCATGAATGTAAATATACAGTGTAAACATAAATACTGGTGCAAAAATATGATTTCTGTCTTTCTGTCCTTTTAGGCTTTGTTTAGAAAAGCGATGGTGCTGCATGAGATGGGCCAAGTGGACGAGTCTCTCCAAGTCTTCCTCAGCTGCCTGGCGGTGGACGAGGACTTCCCCTGTGCTAAAAGACAAGTGGAAAAGGTGAGAGAGTTTAAGAGAAAGGAGTTATGATTAGTCTGCTGACAGTGTGGGAAGAGAAAAAGTCTTGACATTAATGGTTGAGGTCACGCAGTGTTATTGCAAGTCAGCTGGAGGAGCTAGCCTCAAAACACTCTAAGAAAACTTGTACCACTGATCAAGGAATCTGTACATGGCTGTCCCAACTCTTTGATTGGATAGCTGGCAACATAAAGCTCTCCCATTCTGATCTTTATTACATCAAGCCGTTTGTTCTGTTTTTATAGCAAGCATCTGCTATTCTACTACATTGACTTAATGGAACCTCTCTTCATGGCATGGATCTTAAAACTCCACTTAGACTTTATGACTAAATAAACAGTTAAACCGGAAACAAGGAAGAGATCCTCTGTTTTATAAGCATCCTGATAACAGTACCTCTTGTGTTGCTGTGTTTTAATTGGATATACATCATACATCGTCCTCTATGCTTGTAATTGTGTCTGGAATGTGCTGGCAGAGATTATTTTCAACACTCATATCATTCCACTCATCCATGTTGATTTAAGCCAGTCAGAGCATGTGTCACTTTTTACAGTTTACAGATAAAATCAAAATGTAAACCTTCACCTATTCAAATGAAGAGCGTAAACATAAAAGTCTATGATAAACATAACAATAAGGTGCAAATCAATATGTATGCGAAACATAGGCTACAATGCAAAAATCCAGTTAACAGTATGGATCAAAGAAATACAGTCAAGTTACATAAGTTGTTAGTGGGTCAGGTCTTGTGACTCTGTCTGTAATGACATTAGTGCCACTTGAGAGGCTGATCACAGGGTTGTAGTTACGTAAGTGTGACACAGTTGACTCATGCATGCAGTCCCACGTACATTTTCAGAATAACGTGAAAGTTTGTTGCCACTTTGTGATAAAACTTTGTTGCATTCAGTCGCTAATGCTGTTTTGTGTAATCGTCTCTGAATCATCATTGCATAAGGAGACATACATAATCACATTAGTCATCTCATACCAGTTTTCACTTGGTCTAAAGTATGTGAAATTGATCCAATCCGTTAAGGGTTGCTGGTTTTATCGACGTCTAGTCTGAATTCTTTATCCTTCTGATCCTGAAAGAGACAGTGTTCAGGCTGGACATCAATCCACACAAGTGTGGGAGCCAAACAACGTGCATCAATAGCATGTCAAATCAAGTTTGTGTAGCCTGTAGTCACACTTAAAGTCTCAAAGGCCTTCCCAATACCCATATAATAAAAATGGAAAATTAACAAAATTGAAATGACAGCCTCCAGCCTTGTTGCTTTCACAAAGAGATTACAAGGCATCCAAACAATGCTGAGCATATTGCTCACCATAATGTCATCCATACGCTAGAAAACATTGAAAATACTTAAAAATTTGACACCATCTTACATCTAAAGACAGTGTCCGTTTTTAGTCACACGCTAAAACATTTTGCAAAGACTGGAGATCTTGCAGGGTCATTGTTTGCAAGACTAGATTACTTTGTGAATATTGCCACTCCTGCTGCTGGTGGAACTCTCATGATTTTATCCTGGCATTGGAAATTTGTGTGTGAAAGTAAAATTGCTTGAAAAGTTTTTTGGTGAAAGGCCAGCCAGGTTGTAAAAAAGAGTAAAATCAAAAACTGTAACCTTAATCACTCTTACACAAGATTTCTGTAAGCAAGTTTTTGGAAAATTACGCCAATGTGGAGGAAAAGTACAGAAATATGTAAAGAGTGAGTCTGTCTGAACCGTCTGTGTCTGAACTGGGAGAAAATGTTAATGGAGTCTGCTACTGGGTTAGATACATCAGGGTCAAATTGAGGTTATGTTGATATCTATTGTGAACATGGAACAAGGCAACTCTCTGGACAAAGTTTGCCTTCTCTTTTCCCTTCACATCGCCATGTACATTATCATGACTAAGTTTGCTTTTGGTCTTGGTTTTCGAAATGGATTTACAATAATGTATGGTTGAAACCTTTGTCAATAACCCCTTTGTGAAACGAACACTGCATGTTTCCAGCCTTGACAAAATTGAAAAATGTGTTGTTTAAACAAAGTTACATTTTTCCTCTCAACCTGGTCAGTTACAAATAACAAAATGTATTTTTTTTTTTTTTTTTTGCTTTTTACAGATCCTTTGCGACCTGCTTTCTCCAGCTGATGAGAATGTGAAGGTCGGCTTGAGGGAAACAACACAGAACGCGTCGCCTCACTTGCGCAGTAAAACCCTTGTTTCCGATGCCCAAGCCCAACCACCGAGCCCAGTCCAAAGACAACACCAAAACCAGGTCCGCGCAGCCTCAGCACACCACCACCTGGACAACCAAGAGGTACGGGCAGGCTGAATAATTACATCACATTGTTTGTCAGTGAATAGCTTCAATGCTTTTGTTGCCGCATGTTCTTAGGAAACAATCACTGTCTTCTTACCTTGACCTTCTGTCATTTTTCAGAAACGCTGGGAGAGCCTTGAGCGGCCTGTTCTGAGCAGAGCTCATTCCTTGCGGATGCATGGCTCCAGCTGTGGTGAGGAAGGGCTGAAGAGAGTTTGCTCTGCTCCTCAGCTGGGGGACCAGGACAAGGGTAGCTTGCTTAAGAGGAAGCTGTCAGTGACAGATACCGAACCCTGTGTTGTGGACAGTGGAAGTAGCAAACAGAAAAAACAAGGTCAGAGGCCAGTCTGATGTCCAAACAAAATATATAATGACGTCTTAGACCCATGTATATTCTACATATTAATATAATAATTAATTGTGAAATGCTATCTTCTCTCTGGTTGACATAAGGTGTGGGGAAGGGCTCCAAACAAAAAGCTGCCAAAGCTAAAACCTGCAGAAGTGTTCCTGAGGACTTGCTGGACCTAAATGACCTGGAGTGCTCTCTCTGCATGAGGTAAGGTCACACACCAGTAGACATATGAGTTTATACACAGTGTGCTCCTGTAAATAGGGATGTGCCGATTCTCAAATTATGGGCCGATACCGATGTTTAAAGTAACAATTTGGCCGAGGTCAGTTTTGTTGTTGTTGTTGTTGTTGTTGTTATTTATTCCCCCTTTGGTGCCAGGGAAACAAGATAAATCTTAATTCGAAAAAAGTTATTCAGCCTCCATTACATGACTTTTAATGTAACGTTTCACATGGAAATATCTTTTTAAGAAACTGCGTCAGATGCCTTTTTATTATATAAAATATATCGTTTCTTGCCAAAAACTGAATTTTACAAGATTACATTTGGACACATAGTGATAACTTACAATTTACCTTCACCCAATCGTATTTGTAAGAGCTTGAATGCGTCATAATCTAACTCTCTGTTAGCTGTTAGTTGTGGCTGCTGGCTGCTAACAGCTAATGTTAACTAGCTCTCCTCCTCCTTATTTGCCAGAAAGCTGATAGCACTTAACAAGGTGAATGTCAGCCGATACTGATGTTCAGCAGTTAAATCGGTGCATCTCTATTTGTAAATGACTCAGGATTCAGAATTAAACATCTCTGTGATCTTCCCAGGTTGTTCTATGAGCCTGTGACAACACCATGTGGCCACACCTTCTGTAAAAACTGTTTGGAACGCTGCTTGGACCATATGCCTCAGTGTCCCCTCTGTAAAGAGAGCCTAAAAGAGGTGAGAGAGCAGTCTTGTCATGTAAGAAATCAGGACACTAATCTTACAGTACTAATCAAAAATGCATGTTCTTTGCTTCCTGTTATTATTATCACTAACTCATATCCTGCTGTCTCCAGTATCTAGCATGTAGGAAGTACATGGTGACAACTGTGTTGGACACGCTGATCAAACAGTATTTGAGTCGGGAGCATGAAGAGAGGACTAAAACTCATTTGGAGGAGACCAGAGAGCTTGCTGAGTAAGTGTTTATTATCTCTGGCCTGGTTGATTCCAATGTTCATCATCAGAAGTTTCTGTTTGCTGAAGTTTTTAAGCAGCTCACAGGGTCTAAAATGTTCTCTCCCTCCCTCCCTCCCTCCCTCCTCTGTGCAGCCTGACGAAGAATGTGCCTATCTTTGTGTGTACCATGGCTTACCCCACCGTGCCTTGCCCCCTGCATGTCTTTGAGCCTCGTTACCGCCTCATGATCCGCCGCTGCATGGACACAGGCACGCGGCAGTTTGGGATGTGTATCAGTGATCCCCAGAAAGGGTAAGCTTGCAAGCACACCAACATGTAAGCACATGGATTTGTACAAGTAACAATATTAGAAGGCTTTAAAACTAGATGCATTTACACATCTGGAGAAAAGGAACCACTGGAACAAACTGCCAAAACTCAGTTGTCTAAATAAATCAAAAACTAAATTGTGTCCATCCCTGTAGGTTTGCAGATTATGGCTGCATGCTGACCATCAGGAGTGTCCATTTCCTTCCTGACGGACGATCAGTAGTAGACACTATTGGAGGAAAACGCTTCCGGGTACTGTCCCGAGGAATGAAGGATGGTTACAGTACTGCTGACATCGAGCATTTGGGCGATATCCGGGTAAGAACCACAGTAACTATCATTTGAATGGTATTATCTACTGGGGATGCACCAATTTATCAGCCAAACATCTGTTTCGCCTTGTTGACTGCCATTGGCCTATCTGCAAATAAGATGACATTCCTCGATGGTAGTGGCTGATATTTTTTCTGTTGTACCACATCAGTTTTGCCCAGGCTAAAAAGCAGGGCTCCAGATAAACAGTGTCCCACCTTTTGAGTCTACAGGGGTTGATTTTGGGTGGGATGTCACTTTATAAGTTGACTTGTTTCTCACATTAAGTTATTGCCAGTTCTTTTAAAACAAATGTATTTTGAAGTTGACAATCCAAAAGTGACTGATGGGTTAATTGATTCTCTTCTATTAGGTGGAGGACAGTGACGAGCTGGAGAGACTGCAAGAGCTGCATGATGCTGTATATGAGCAGGCCCGCGACTGGTTTCAGAACCTCAAGATCCACTTCCACAACCAGATCCTGCAGCACTTTGGACCAATGCCAGAACGAGAAGCTGACATCCAGGTAAACATCCAGTTAACTGTCCCTCTGCTTCCATCTGAAGACATTTGCCCAATTCAGACCAGAGTAGTTTATGCAGGGGCTATTTTGTAAACTAATTCCCTAAAGGTGCAGTCGGCGATTCTAATCCAATACAGTTTTTGTTAAGTTCAGTGAATATCTTCTCACGATCCGGTAGCTATTTATTCTCTGTGTGCACTGAAAAAAATCCAGTGTTCATGCACAGCCCTGGCTCTGTAACTGAGAAACACACAAAATGGCTTGGAAGTTATACACCACTATGCTGGCTGCTCTCTCTCTTCTACGTTGTTGCCCATGTGGAACGGTTCTAAACCATGACATGAATGAAAGGTAAAAAGCATTTGAGATATTATAGTAGCTTCTGAGAGTGTATTTATTCTTTCTCCAGATCGATGACCACCTCTGAGGAGTCTAATCTTTAAATACACATTATTTCTGCACTAGACAGGTAGCAGTAGATGCCTGAACCAGAGTATCAGGTCTAATATTTCCACTGGTCTCTGAGCTTGTTTTAACATCAGAAATATATTTTCATATTTCAGCAAGAATTGACATGTAAACATAATATTTCCCTTGCGTTCACTGTCTTCATTACACAAAAATTAGTAGTAGGCCGATATATAACATGGATGAAATGATTGGCTGGCATTGGCCTTAATAGAATTAGTAACTACAGCTAGTGAACTGGAAAATGATACCTTGTACTTAATTAAACTTATCTTGTGCTGTTGACTTTACACAATAGAAAACAAAAGGAAAAACTGTATTTGTGCTGTTAGTGACTTAAAGTAGTGTCATTTTTATATAATTTGTCCGGCAGATGAATTGGTTAAAATACTGAGCAGCAGATGCTGGTGCAGATTCTGTTGAGAAGAAGTAATTTGTTAAACTGCCTGCCTCCAGTGCATGGGATGGCCCCAAGTTTTTAAATAACCAGATGTGCATTTAAATAAAGGAACATCAGTTGATGAAAATTCTATTCTTATTTATATCTATTATTGTCAGAACCGATGTCAGCTGAGCTCTTTCTTCAAATTACTGCAGTGTCTGAGCTTTCATTACCTCGTCTGACACAGCAAGACGCTGCAGATTCTGAAGTCTGAAATTGGATCATCTCATGACACACTTGCCTTTTGGGAAAACCCACAATACACTATGGATTCACCTGCCTCAGAAGTCTTAATACCGGAACATAGTTGTTGTGTACGCTCAGCTCTGGCTGGTAGCCTGCAGCACAGGCAGGGATTACAGCTCTGCTCTTAGGACAACCACGGGGCGGAGTCCATTGACAATATAGGCTAAAGAGCTTTACGGGTGCTTCATACCTAATCCCACCGGCCCTGTTGCGTCAGAGGAGTGTCATGAAAAGAATCCCCGACTGCACCACGTGTGTGCACACTAAAAAAGGACTATAATTTTTAATGGCGTTAAGTAAGTTTGGAACTTATTTGTTCCAGGGACAAGCACTGCAATTCTCTGGCAAATGGCCAGCATGAAATGCACAATGATGCATAGATGTAGTAAACCGTATTCACTTCAAATCCTTAGAGGTGTTTTTTAACTTGTAACTTTTTAACAGATTTTTAACTGCCTCAGTCTCCAACTCAAACAAAGAAGGATTTTTTAGCTGTGTAACTCTGGTGCAGACATGCATTCCTCTGGCAAATTACTGTAAGAGGTCATTTATGGGTGAACTCGTTCAAGGGTTGTATTTGCAGGGCTGAGTATAGTACGCAATCAATACGAAATGTGTACTCCACCACATTACCAATTGTGTAAATGGAGACCGCAGAAATGTTAATTAAAACTATATTTATTGTTTGTGTTTAATGTGTTGTATGAACAAGAATGAAGCATCACAAAACTCTAAATATCAGCAGTTACACAGGAGCTAGATGTGCACAAGTATTTTCACACACAAATGTTTAGCACTATTCCTCCTTCCTGCTAGGCGACTCCTAACGGTCCAGCCTGTTGCTGGTGGCTCCTGGCTGTTCTGCCTATTGACCCACGGTACCAGCTCTCTGTCCTCTCCATGACCAGCCTCAAAGAACGCCTGGTGAAAATCCAGCACATCCTCACATATCTGCAGAGCATCCCCAACAACTAGAGCTTCCTCTTCTCATCACCACAAACATCTTCTGGACTTTGAAATGACATTCAAGCGACCCCTGTATCGTCATCTTGCCAACTTTTATTTCTACTGCCACCTGATCCTTCAACTGTGTTTTTACAGCTGCACGAGCCCTTGTTTTACAGTTCTTCATTAAAAGCCTCTGCAGTATAAAAGCAAAGCCGAATCATCCTTGAACTGTGGATCAGTGAAACCAGAGATGTGGTCAAACCACCTCAGGGATACTCCCACTAACGCACATTATTTATTTGAGACTGTCAAAAATGATTAAAAAAAAATCTGCTCTCGATCCTAATGCTGTTCATCTTCAGAAGAGCATCCCTGAGTGACCTTGTTGAAATGAGAAGAGCAGTCACTATTCAACTGAGGTGATATTTTGCTGTTGAAAGCGGCATAGGGAGTAAAGTATCTAACCGTGAGGGAGGTGAAGAGAGTGTTACAGTTTGTGTTGTATCGTCTCTGGTGAGATCAGTGAAGAGAAAGGTTGTTTTTTTTTTTTTTTTAATCTGCTGGCTGTAATTTCTGTTAGTATGGAGGAGGGGTGAGGTGATCTGTAGAACAAAATCCTAAATGCTGAAAGTCCAAAAAAGTGAAAGCAAGAAAGGGTTTCGATGAACCATTAAAAAGAAATTTGTGCAAAGCGTAAGTGCAGCAAAGGCAGGTGTACGTGACCCTGAAAGTATTAATTGATATCTTCCGAGCATCACATTTTCTTCTTACTTTTTTCCCCGCCATGCAAAACTTCGCTTCCTGCATCGCTACCTGTTAGTTGTGGCAGAGGACCTTCCTGTTGAAAGAGTGAGATGACTTGTGTTTGTTCCCATTGTTTTCCTCTTCTAGTTACTTCAAAGTGGTCATGCAAACATCGGCCCTTTTATCCCTCCTAACATCTGGTCAACGGAACACCGGTGGCCCTGATATCTCATCCTGATTCTTTTTAAATGCTTTTCTTCCTCTTACACTTAACCTTAAGTCATATGCACTATCTTCCAAAATGTAATGGACCTTTGGAGACCCTGGTGGAATGTGGTTTTTGCAAAGAGGTGTTTAAGATTCAGTGGTTCTGAATCTGTCTCTCCTCTAAACCAAAAGATTCAGCAGCCCATTACATTAACTTAAACTAATTTATAAGAATATATTTGTACATTCTGACCATGTGTTTGTTTGAGAAATTCTAAGGGGAACTTGCAATATTATGACAAATCAAAACAAGACAAAAACAGCATGTATAATACAACTAATGGGTTCGCATTATTATTCATTCAAAGCTGCTCTCTGTCTACTTTAGAGGAGAGGACGGTACCTGCAGTGCTTCAGTTGAGACTGCATTTGCCTTACACCATTTTGCATTGTGATCTGAATAACACAATGCATTGGCTTGGTCACCATTCCTTTTTTGCCATAGTGTGAAGTATGTTTTAATTGTATTTTTTTCTCAGTTAGTTTAAGGCACCATTTGTGCACAATGTGTATTAAAAAAAATCCTAAGATTAAATTCAAGTCAAGGCTGTTTTATGTAAATCATCTGTAAAAAGGCTTTTTTTTTGGCCAGATCTTGGTTTTTGGTCTGATGTTTAAGTTATCAATTTTCAATAATAAATGCACTTCTTTTTTCAACTTCAGTGTAAGTGTCCACCCTGACCAATTAAATAGAAACTTGTGCTTTGACCTCAAAGCAAGGACCTCACATCATAAGGTATTATTTGTGAACATTTTCAACACACACAAGAAGTCAACTCAGGTCTGCGTGGGTGTGGTTTTATCAAATATAACTGACAGTAATTAAACTCACCACTATGAGGCCATGTCCACACGTACATCGGGATATTTAGAAACATAGCCTTTTCTATGTGGTATGGCCTTTTGTCCACACTGACTGTTTTATTTCACTGAAAACAGACATTTTGTAAAACCTCTTCCAGGGTGAAGATTTTCAGAAACCTTGTTTCCAGTGACGGACAGGGAAAACTGAGTTTTTGGCTTCAGATGTCAGAGAGTTCCATGTTACCTTCTTTGTGAGGCATCACAAATGAAGTGACATTTTATTCAGTGGCAGTGGCGACCAAAATAGTGCTGGTTCTAATCTTGCTCACAGGACCTTTTACATGTTCACGTATAAATATAGAATAACTCCTTTGCAGAGGTGTCAGAATGAACTACAGAGGTCACTGCTATAGGTCGCCTACCAGTAGTAGAGAGTTCCAGGAATGAATCCTCACACCCGGAAATGAGTTGGAATTTTAGGACTCAGGTTCCCTCGTCTTCAAGTCAGTGGGTTTTTTGAATGGATTTTTGGTGCTTGAGATAAGGTCTGTGGACAACACATGCACTTTTGACCTTTTGATTGACGTAAGATACATAAGTACATACCATACATATGAATTTTGAAGCTTTTATGTGTCTTAAAAAAGTGGCCATATTTGATCAAAGAATATCATCATACTCAAGACGGCTTTACACCCTCGTCGTAGTAGGGATGTTAAATCATACAACCATAGTGTAGCTCGTCCCCAACGTTAGCTTGTTACCTCTGGTGATTGCATTTAGACTTCAAAAATCACAAAAGTGGTGTTCATTTGTGAAGATTATCTTGCTGAACAAAATGTGTATCACAAATGTTTGTTTGCCACAGAGCTCATTTTCTGCAATAATCTAAAGGAAAAGTCCATAGGCTTTTTGATGAGGTAACCAAAGCGACACTAACTTCCACGTGACGTTGGCCTACAGAAAAACATCATCCCTGGAGCACTGTATAGCTTTGTTTCAGGCTTTTGATTGGCTACCATTTTCTTCTTCTTTGCATGGTTTAATGATAATGCAGCCTGTTGGTTTGGCATGCTCTTGACAGCACTTTAGATGTGTTAAATGTTTTCATTTGAATGGAGATTTTTTTTGTTTTTTGTTGCGTTATATTTTTTGAGGTAGAAGAAGGTAAAACCCCTCTTTTGAAAATACCTGTGAACCTGTTGACAAGGGCTGAAAAATGAAGCAAACTAGACAGTGTAAAAACTGCAGTTCCTCAAATGGCCACTTGAGGCTGGCTCCAAGCGTATGTCAGTCCCCATAGACCCCCATGTTAAAATGCCCAACTTTACAGCAGAAATTGACATTTATAGCATGGTACAAAAAAAAAAGGTTTGGTCTCTATAGCTTATGGCAACATTAATGACAACTTTAAAAGAAGTGTTTTTTTTTTTTTTTAAAAATTCACCCATTTACATTTTATCAAGGCTTAAAGTTATGCATCAATTAAGGGCGTGGCTTCTTTGATGGACAGGATGCCTGTGAGTTAGATCCATTCCTCACTCCTCCACAGCTCCACCCTCCCATCCAAATATGGACCCTCAGATATTAACTAAAATATTGCTGAATTCTGATTGGTGCATTTTGACATCACCTTTATTTAGCACAGAGAAGACAAAAAAACAACACAACACTCAAACCTCCAATGTGAAGTAATCAAAACCTTGGCAGAGAGTTGTGACTTTTTGTAGGACTCCATCACAGAGTAAGACTGAGTTGAGAAAGGGCCTTTAACCCATTTATGTGCAAATAAGTTGAAATATAGGATACTACAGTCCTCCACTAGCTGTTGTTAAAATGTAATCAGATGGTAAAGAAAATTAAGTCTCATTTTAGAGACCTAAAGAGTCTGTACACTTTGCCACCACAGGGGGGCGACAGTGCAGCATTGTTGCCACATACAGTTAAATGTTTCATAACTCACCCTTTACCCTCTGCACTTCCTCAACCTCAGCTTTTATTATAAAAACAGGAACAGATCTCTCTGACTCAATCATGTTTTGTTTTACAATCAGACATTTCGATAATGTCACAGAGAAAGAACAATAACAGCAGGCAGTGCTTATGAGTTGGTCCGTATGAATCCGGCGCTGTATGATCCATCTTCTTCCATCAGAGGTCATCGTGCAGAAAGCATCATAACAAACTCTGCAGAGGGAGACAGAGACAGCGGCAGATCCACCGATAAGGACTAATGACACTCTAATATCATAACAGGACAGCATGGGAGGCCACCACATCATTTTCAGGCCGCGTACTGGAAACTAACACAGCTCATGCTGTAATGTAATGACAAAATGCTGCCAGTGTCATCAATTTAATGAGAAATTGAAGCAGTAACAGCATGATATATCAATGAAGAAGAAAGAATATAGCAGCATTTCAGCCGAAAATTTAAATAAAAGTTGTTGTTTTTTCTGTTACTGAAGTAAGACAGAGTATAGGACTGGTTTTCTCTGCAGGTATTAAACCTAGATCTATATTCATTAACGGGATAACAACTCCAGCACTTCCACATCCAGGCTCTGTTCATCTCTTTCTGTAATTGGTAATCAGTTTGACTTACCGCTCATTTTAGCCGTAGCAGTTATTACAGATTCACTTGTCAATCATGTTGTCTATTGATAGTGTCCTGTCAATGAAACCCAGCTCGAGGCAGGTTTCACTAAATCAGTCCAGTCAATCATGTCTTCCATTTCCCAATGTGCACCTGAAGCGCTTTACTCTGAAAGACGTCTGATTGTAGGTGTGAATCTATTGATTGACTGAGCACGAAAGCTTAATTCCAGATTAACCCACTAACATTATCTCTTGAGGTACTCCTTGAACCACTTTCAATAAAAAGAAGTAAACCGAGCGTAACAGCAGCTCCTCGCCGTCCTGACACTTGAGTTTATAACCTGCCACCTGGAGATTGAGAACGAGCTTCTCACCGCTGCTGTGGCTGCTTGTTTCCTGCCCGCGTGGCTGAGCTGGACAGATACTCCAACGCTGCCCCAGGGGCTAATTGATGATAATGAGGAGCACCTGCTTATCGATCCCTTCTGGGACTGACACGCCTATTCATATGTTCCCAATAATTGTAATTGATTGGATTGTTGAGACAAGATAAAGAGGATCACACCTCTAAGCTCTCTGTGTGCTGCAGCCTATAATTGCACTAACATGGATGTGGTGTTGATGACGCCTGCACATGTGCGCATCGAGGTGTATGCTGACATTGACGTGTATGTATGGGTGGTTGTGTCCCACTGTATTGTTTATTTGCTTGTGAGGTCAAATATGGTAATGACATTTCTCCAAAGTCCTTGAGCTGCCCAAGTGTGTGTTCTCTGTGTGACATGTGACAGGTGTCCAGGCGTGTGTATTGATTGGCTTAATGCACTCCTGATTAGATTGGGTTGGCCCATCCAGCTAACCCATTTTGACGTGACCATCACTCCTTTCCCATCTCACCCTTTTCCCACCTCATTTTTTACTCATTTTCTCCTTCTCTCCCCTTCATCCTCAACCCATTCCAATGAGATCCAATGACCTCTCTGCTTTGTCCTCCCTGGTTTGCTCTTCCCTCCTGTCTGATGTACTCACACAGCCCTGTCAGATGAGCTCAAGTAACCTCTTCATCAACACCACAACCATCATGTTCCAAATGTGTTATGAATGGATTATAATTGGGATGCTTGTGTTCTGCACTTACGCTATTCATTATATATATAAAAAATGGCTATACTACTCAGGCCCCCAGGAAGTGCACCAAGCTTTGGAGCCAACTATCATTGTGGCCAACCAGTGGAATTACACCTCCTGAGTCTGTCACGTGATGTCATTGGGCCCAAAAAGCCTTTTTCCTATAGACTTCCATTGGGAAAGAGAAATCTGCAAATCAGTGGATACATTTTTTTGAGCTTCACAACCCTGCAAAATGACTGGTTTCATCACCAGGATTTAATCCATTTGGTCCAATAACACATGGAAAGTCTAAAACAGCCTCAAGATTAAATCATTTTATCTCCATTCAGTTTAGTGGAGCACTAAACTGAGCGCTCGCTCTGTGGGCCCAGTGATGTGGAAGCAGCTTCAATCATCCGGGTAATTTCATACCAGGGAAACAGAACTTTTTTGGCTTCATGTGCCTCTGAGCAACATTCAAAGGAATGAACAGGGTCCTGCTCCAACACTGTATCCAGGTGTCTTAATACAGCCATGTTACCACTGGATTAGCAGAAAGCTTGATGTTACAATAGTTTATACATTATTTTCAGCAAAATTTCCACAGTTTATGTAGATTTCTAGGTTATGATTTCAGTTGTTCTTCCACATCCTTAGCTAGTAACTTTTTAAAATGTCTTTAGTTTTAGCTAGGTGTTTAGCTAGGTCATCCATTAGGCTACTTATAGCTAAGCATTTCAACTACTCCATTTCTTTTATCATTTAATCCATTCAATGAACTACCTATTTCAACCATTTCTTGATTACTTTTAATGATTTTGACTTGCTAATTCACACACTCCAATGACTCAGAATGGGTCACTTGTTGGTTATTTTAAAGGAATACTTCAACCACAAAATGACCATTTGGATTTCAGTTACTCACCCCACGTTACCTTGAACTCATGAATACAATTAAGTATTTTTTGCTGTTTAGTTGGATGATGATAATACTACTCTGAATATGTAAGATAAAACACTTAAAAGTAATGCCAGACTGTTTCTGATACTGAAGTAAAGGGTGGAAAAGTAGCCTAGCTAATGACTGATAGGTCTTTCCGACTGAAATGTGGCATTTATAATAACGGGAGCCAATTAACAGTATGTGGACTATTTTACTAATAAAATATCTGTTTTATCCTAGTTCTCATCACATAGGCGTCTCATGTTATTTTGAGCTGCAGTGGTGGAATCAGAGTGTAAAATAGCAGCACTATCACTGCGTACTAAAATAAACTTTGCATAATTTCAAATCCTGCTAAAATCATGTGTTCTGTGTTGTAAACGATCTCTGTGTTTGTTAGAAACTCTGTTTTAAAACCAGCGGAAATAGAGCCCTGGAAATATTAAATGATTCTACTGACCTGTATCAGCATACAGACTCCTCTTTTTTCCCTGTCATTCTGGACTTTTGTTCATGGATACTTTTTCCCTCAGTGATCTGATTGGTTAATGATCGGGGTGTTGACAGCCTGTGATCCGATACATGAAGCAGGTTAACTGTTCAGCATAAGTTACCGTGGTGATTTATCCTGGTAAAGAGAAAACCAGCTTCATAGTACTGAAAACCCGGAGTTAACCGTGAAGTTACCTCACTAACTTGAAATCCTGCTTTGTAGTACAGGCCTCAGGTGTGCTACTCGTCTCTGTGTGAGACCTATAATGTTTTTGCAAAACACGTGTTTGGGAAGTACTGAGCATACAACTGGATAAACGAGACTTGGAATATACTGCACGAGTTGCGTGAGAGTTGTAAACAGATGTTTTTAAATACTTCTACTGTTGTAAAATGTGGACCCTGATTTCTTCAATTCATGAGGAATGTTTGGATTCTGTATTCACAGTGGAGGCATACAAGAAAAACAAAGTTTTCTTCACAAATTCAAAGTCACAATGCGTGAGTATTTGATACACATATGCTCATTTTGCAGGTGAAGTGCTCCTTTAAATTTACTAAAGATCAGCTCCAGCTTATTTTCCTGCTAGACATAAATATGTTAATTGTTTTTTAATCAAATCACAATTTCCCATTTTTTCGTTGAATTTATTTGGGAATTAGTTTGTCCTCCCATGTACCCTCTGGCAACTGCAGAAGTACCCCCCCGTACAAGTGCACCCTTGTCTCAGTGTTTTATTGTTGTGTATTATTAATGGTTTCAAAACTCTCTCACACCTTGCCTGCAGCCTATCCACTCCCCCCCAACACGTCCCCCACGTCCCCACCTGCTCACCATCAAAGTCGATGTTGCCGTCCTTGTTGAGGTCAATGTCGCTGAGGATCTCCTCCAACTCGCCTTTCTTCAGCTTCTCCCCCAGGAGGGTCTTCATGCCCTCCTTCAGCTCATCAAGCGTGATCTTTCCATCACCATCACAGTCGAACTGCAACGTGTGCAATTAGAAGAGCAACGAGGTGGTGTACATGACCATGTAGTGAGCGAGAAGAGACAAATCATAGATGAAGAGGATTAGAAATGACACAAGGAACAGAGAAGGAAAGAACGACAATACATGTTTCTGTGCTAATGAGGGGGGTGGAGAGATTGGTTCCAGAATGATGTCTTGAATAGGGGTGACGAAATAAAGACAGAAATAGAGGGAGAGAACATTATCAAGAGTAATACACAGACCAAGAGATTCAGAGATTTCGTCACGCAGAAAAAGTTTAACATTTACAGTGTATAGTTACAACATGACTGCATGTGGATCCTGGAAGTCTGAAAACAGCTTGAGTGTGCAGATGGGGCACTGCTGACTCATAAGGTGTTAGAACTGAAGTGAGAAAGACTTCTGAAGTGACTATGAGGGCTGAGTTGAGATGAGTTGAAAATGGATTCTCATTTGTCACAGAGTAGACGATCCTCTGAAGTTGTGGAAGTTTCCGTTCAGAAGTAGTGAAGCTGAGAGCTAATTTATTATTCCCTGCAGACGTCAGAACATGCGAATTTCAGGACCTTGACGATGACGCATGTGTGATGAAGAAACACCAGCTACAAGATGAGATAGATGAATATGAAGCCATGCATTAAAATAGAGGGCACGTTTTAAACCTTTTATGCAGAGGAATGATGCTCTTGGTGTCCTCAATAAAACCCTGAGCTATCAGGCAGCCCAACTGGTTCAGGAAGAGATTGGTAAGTTGAGACAGAAATATTGTTACAAAGCTCACTGCTCAGTAAAGGTTATTCAAATAACAAAGTTTTCTTTATTGCTCCAAACAGCTGTTACGTTTTGAGGTGTATGATTAAACCCTGTGTAATATTCCCATAAAGAAAGCAGATTCTTTATCCTTATGCCTCAGCGCCGGCGGTAGATGTGACTGGAGGCATTATGTTTCAGGTTGTCCATCCATCCATCCGTCTGTATGTCGGTCCCATTCTCATGAATGTGATATCTTAACTCTTCACAGAATTTTTTTTTTTCAAATTTGGCACAAATGTCCATTTGGACTTAAGGATGAACTGATCAGATTTTGGAGGTCAAATTTAAAGGTCAAGGCAACTGTGACCTTGTATCCGTCTCTTGGTCATGAACGCTGTATCTTGAATTTCTTCAAATTTGGCATGAAAATCCACTGTGAGTCAAGGTTGAACTGGTCAAAGGTCACTGTGACCTTTGTCCATCTCATTTCATGAATGCTAAATCTCAAGAAGGCCTTGAGGGGATTTCCTCAAGTTTGGCACAAACTTCCACTTCCACACTAGAATTTGGTGGTCAAAAGTCAAGGTCACTTTGATGTCACAAAATATGTTTTTAGCCATAATTCAGGAATTCATATGTTAAATATGACAAAATTTCACACAAATGTCTAATAGGCTAAATAGATAGATTTTGGTGGTCAAAAGTCAGAGGTCAAGGTCAAGGTACTGTGTCCTCGTCCTTCTCATTCATGTGAATGCAATATTTCAAAAACACCTTAAGATAATTTATTCAAATTTGGTCCACTTGGATTCAACAAGGATCTAATTTAAATTTGGTGGTTGAAGGTCAAGGTCACTTTGACCTCACAAACCATGTTCTTTGGCCATAACTCATTATTAATTATGAAAAAAATTCACACAAATTTCTAATAGGATTAAATGATAAAGAGATGGCATTTTATATCCAAAAGGCCAATGGTCAACTTCACTGTGACATCATTATGTTCTAAAAAAACACTTTTCTGGCCATTTCTCAACATAATAATTCAGGAACAGAAGGGAAGACATTTGGCCAGATACTGAATTGGTGACACTAATCTTGGGTGTCCACCTTCAAACTGTGCTGTTTGCATTGATTTTCTGTGCTGTCAGGTTGAAGATGTGTGTCCATGTTTTCACAGACATGGACTCAACTTTCACAACTGTAACTGCAACTTGAGGGGTTCACAGAGGCATACAACTGCGTAGTGGTAATTGTAGTTTAAATATTGTTATGCCATAATTCTAATGACATAAATTACTTCGCTGATAGGCTTTTATTAGGAGCTACAAAGTGGTCAAACTAAATGCCTGGGGCTAGATTTCTAATTAATCCCAGTAGCATATTGCACTCTCTAATATGTTTTCAGTTACAATCATTAGGGGCACATTGTACGTGTTGTCTGTTTTGCAGTAACCATTAAAAACCTATCATGCTGTATAATGTGTTTAACGGATGAACCCAGGTGTGTGAAGCTGTGCTTATAAATAAAACCATCAACTCATTTGTTTTGCTTGGTCAGAGACTACGTCACACCAGAGCTGGGCAATGGGGGGCAATCAATTCAACACTTGTGAACCTGCCTCTGTACTGACATCAGAGAGAGCAACTCAATAGATATTTCCTCCAGACCAATGAGGCACAAATTAACAGGTGAGTCAAAGAAGTGTATATAAATAGTGACACTTTGGATGGCAGAGGCCAGCCTCCATAAAAACGTCATCAGTAGGAATATTTCCCTTTTTCTTCTGCATTCATAGCCAACTAGCCCTTTTTCCTCAGACTTGTTTACAAGTAAGAGCCATACACTCTTGGAACTCTCTAAGGAAAGGTCCTGTTACACACTTCAAAGTACTGTCACAGCACCAGGCCCCTTTCACTTGCTTGATGCCAGATTTCTTTACAGTTCCTAGCCGGGGACCTCTTACCTGTTTGAAGGCGCAGCGGAGCTCCTTCAGCCCGACCATATGAGCTGTCTCAGCCAGCATCCTCGGCCCCATTAACTCACAGAAATCATCAAAGTCTACATGACCACCCCCTGCAGAAAGACAGAGGACACACACACACACAGATGAAGACACACACACGCACAGGTTGACTACTAAGTAATAACTTCTATGCCTCCCTGGAGAGTCTGTACTAGACATATGGATTCATGCATTAAGCATTAAGGTGTCAGAGGATATTGGCACATGCAGTGTCTTTTATGTCATTAGCTGTGTAGTAACACAGTGGTGGAAGAACTATTCAGATCCTATGCAGTTTAGCCACACGTACAACACTGACATACTGTAAGCTTGTAAAGTCATCATGGTAAATCCATATGTGTTAGCAAACAGTTGCTTATTTACTCATGCAGTAGATACAACAAGGCAACATTAGCATTCATTTGGAGTCTGGTTTCTGGCAGCAAATTGTCACTATCCTTTTAGCTTTGTTTTGATCTCCACCAACTCCTATGAGACTGATCTGTTTTTTTAGCTGCTAAATGATAAACTGAGTCCACCAGCTGGTAGCTTACTTTGTCTGCTTTCAATCTGGTTCTGGACAGGTCACCTAATGGGTTTTAAGAGCTTTTGAACTTATAAAAGCTGCTTGCTGCAATGGTACGATGGTAAGACTAACCAGAAACAATAAAGTTGCAGGTCATGAAAAACAAAACAATGAGATGAAAATTGCTTAAACCCATCACTGTGCACCCCTTTTAAAATTAGGCTACATGCAACCTTGAAACTGAGAACCGAGAACTGCTGTTCTTCTAATCATTATTTTTTTCATGGATAATCCTTGATTTGACATTTACAGTTGTTACAGCTGTCAAGACGCCATCTGTGCACGCTGGCATGGCACTCAGGATCTCTGATAAACATTATAAGTTGCCCAATAAGACAAAATTACCTTTTTGTAATTTTCTTGTTATTCGGAGATAACAAAGCTTGTTTTCTCGAGATAACAAAATAAAACAACCTTCTGTTTTGTCATGATAATGGGTTAATTACACTGCTATCAGAGATAATAGAGCTTATTCTCAAGATAATGTAAATTATGAACTCATGATCTCAAAATAACAGCTTTTTTTTTTTTTTTTTGATAAAAGCATTGCCTTGGCTTCTCAGCTTCTGTACAACACCCATTGTCCATCTGTGTGATGATTATAAGCCTCATGGGGCCAAATTTTTTTAGATTTGGTGTAATAAGTAGATATCCGGGCCAAGACTTTCCCTTTGGTGTGTTGGTCATTTCAGATAACCTCTAATAACAGATTAATGCATATGAATGCAGGTAAATTTTAAAAAGCTAACATAAAGCTAAATCGTTGTCATATGGTAGCTGTTGGGTTTACAGATTGCTGGCCAACGCTTTCCACCTCTCTACACAGATTGTTTATGTGCCACTCAAATGTGATTAGTCAATCCTAATCAGATTACAGATGGGTAACAAATGGTAACCGGCTGGCTTAGGATATCAAAATCTTGTCCCATTGCTTACAGATTTTGCATAATATGCAGATATCTGTTGATAGAGATTAGGCTACATGTAGTAATCTGATCAATTGTTAGTATAAAAATAATGATAAGAAAAGTTTTAAGTAAGACAATAGCAACACCACAATTGAGCAATTTCCTCAAGAAAAAGTATGAAAGTATTTGGGGAAAAATTGACATAAGTATCACACATAAGTAAATGTTCATATGTGCTGAATGGCCCCTTTCAGTATGATATACATTTCTGCGATGGCCAATTTTTTTTACCCCAACTTCTTTGCCTGAAGCCATGTTTTGCTGATTTTCAACCACGTCTGTGTCACTGCGGTGTGGGGAGCGTGTGAAGATGAATTTAGTGTTGTGTTGTTCGCGAACGAATCGTTCAAAAGAACGAATCTTTTGAGTAAACGTACTGAACTGAATCACTTCCGGAACGGATTTGTTCATTTCTCAGTTCAGTTGAGCTCAGCAGCGAGCATGCAGTCCGGGAGTGGAACTGCCGATTTGGTCTGTGTGAACAATGAATCACTCGTGAGTCGCGAGGCAGCCAGGGTGCAGGGAGGGACTGCCTACCGTGTGAGGAATCACTCGGTGAACGAATCACTCGGTGAATGACGTAACCCAGATCCCTGAGTGATTCAAATAATTTCTTCTCACACTTTCAAAGGGGCCATTTTCTCCAAGCTAACGGCTAATGTAGCCAGGAGTCAAGCCACATAAACACAATCACACACCTCCCAACTGTTTTAACAGACTTAGTATCCAGATAAACAAACTTAAAACATTAGGCTGGCCAGTAATGAGACTCAACAGTGCAGGGCAGACGCAGCGGCAGCTCAGCCGTGTATCAGTTCAGTGAGTTGGACTACGCAGTACACAGTCAGGGCTCCTCCCGCAAAGCACTGAACGATTCGGTGAAAGAATCTTTTGAACGAATCTTTTAATGAACTGATTCTAGTGATTCAGTAACATCTAAAGAACTGCTTTGCCCATCACTAGATGAACTGTGTTAAGGCATCTCCCAAGCATGCAGTACTGGGCACTCCCTGCCCGTGCTGTGAGTAAAACTCAACCAGAGGACACAGAATGTGTCAGTTTGTGTCATAAATGACGCGTTTTGTGTCTTAGCTGGCAGATGGGCAGGGAGCACCGGGAGTTGGTGGCACAGGGGAAACCTGAATGCAGTTCATCTGCACACACTCTGTACTCGGTGGTGACACAGACGTAGTTGAAAATCAGCAAAGTATTCCTTTAAGAAGCTACAGTAGTGAAACCTCTGCACACTGTAGTTACCTAAACCAATTAATGGAAATATTCAAAGTCCAAATACGAGTACTCAGTATTGTAGCCTACTTGAATAAGGCACTTAAGTAAAGGTAGTAGTAATAAAGACTTGTAGGTGCAACAAATGTCATGCAGAGTCTGGGCTGATGGCTCTCATCTCTGACAGCGCAAGCAAACGTGGTGGTGACTACTAGTGCTAGCTGCACCAACAGTGCTAACAGTGCTAACAATAGCAACAGTGCAGTCAGAGCTAACAATGTTAATGGAGTGGAATCAGAGGATGGGTGTTACGCTTACATGCACTGTTGGGAATAGAATGATGTTATGTGTTTTACTATAAGTTGTGTTTCACTATATAAGTTTTAGATGTGTGAACAATGAGAATACTGAGATGATTTCAGCTGATCTGAATGTGTTTGCTTTGCAGAAGTGGAGAAGTACAGGAGAGGAAGAGCCATGAAGTCTGAGGAGCACATACCGCAATGCTTAGATAATTAGTTTCATATATGGTAAAAAGAATAGAAAGTGATATACAGATAGTAAGGTACAGCACGTGTAGGGAGTTGTCTTGTTCTCTTGTCTTTCAAAACAGGAACCACGCCCCCACCGCCAGCGGGAAGGAGTCAGATTAACACGAGGCAGGGGCGTGGTGTGGTGAAGGAGGAAGTGGAACTGCCAATGAGAAGAGGACAACGCCTTGCGTGCACAATGACACTCTGTTACGCTCAAATATACTGGGTCAGGGAAAGGACAGGAGGTCAGACTTCGTGAACTGACACACCTTTGTTGTTCGTCAGGGATGTGAAGTTGAGACCCAGAGCTCTGTAATTTTATTCCTTTACTGCTTTATAAACTACATTAACTGAGACCGAATATCTTCTCCTATTGCTTCATTAAAGAACACGCAGGACTGAGCTCACACATAGCACATTGGAGAGTAGGATGAGACTCTTAGTCCATCAGCACTAACATGCACGCGTGGTTAGTCTGGCTACCAAAGCAAAAACTGGGATTACAACACATACAGAGAGAGCGTGACTTCATTCTCCTCTCAGGATGCCATTACTCCACCATATCTTTACATAGCAAATAGTTGTTTGCTGCTGTATTAATGTTCTAAATAGAGCCTTTAATACAAAGCTTCAGTGTGAAAAGTTTATGAATGTCCTCAGTGCATGGAGGCGATAACAATGCATTCAGCTATCTGCTCATTATGTTTCCTTCAACCCAGTTTTGTTTTGTTTGATCCCCATAGTAATTGTCAAAACAGACTGATACAATGGGAGGGCTCGTGTTATTAGTTTGACAAAAGACAGGCTTATTTGATAGCGTAGACCAATAGACTCAGTTTGTTTCCATTATCTGGGCCTTTGGTGGATGTGAAAGACTGCTTCAATAAAGCCATGTGGTCATTTTGTGGTTTGAAAAAGGTAATCAGTGCTCAGAATGTCAGGACTGTTGAGGATAAAAATCAAACTATAGCAAACTGAGCTTGCATGGAAAACACTTTTAATGGTGTTGAATATTGAAACTAATGGCTCAGACTGTCATCTACTAGTTAAAACAGCATCTGAAAGGTCCTGAAATACAAGACCATTAATTCTGTGATTTCTGAGTTAGCAAAGAATTTTCATACTTGCCTGGAGGGACTGTAAAGTTTCTGGCTGACTGGCTTTACCCTTGTGGAGCAGCAGTCTGTGGGGGATTCCTGACACCTCCTTGAAGAATTGGGCCTTAAGTGGGTCAGTTTATAATCATGGACTGGAAAAGTTCTCCCAAAAGTCTTTGGAGATTATTATTATTTTTTTAATTGATAGTGCAACGCTAGTTATACATAAAAGACTGAATTTCATGGTATTAATGGCTCTGTAGGGATTACGCTACAGAGATTAGGCTAGGGATGTCTGAAGCTCATTCTACCTTTTGGGTCAAATTAAGGCATCCACGAACAGATGAATAATTCATATTATGCAACATAGCAGAAAATATAAAATGTAGTCACCACCACCGCTCTGATGTTATGAATATTTCTCTTCTAGTGTCCCTTTAAGGAAGAGCTAAAAATGCTTTTCTACACTGTTTGAAGCATCACATACTGCGTTTCTGCTTGTTCCACTTTTACATTAAAATTCTGCTGTGTAAATTTTTTAATTCTAATCTGAGATGCCAACTTCAAGGCTGCAACATTACATCAAATTAAACTGGCAATGTTAGATGATTTTATACACATTTCCCTGTGATTCAGCATGATGTATTTGATATTTTTTAG